CACACAAATCACACGGGGTCAGGATGACAAGACCCATTCACAGCTTAGTGGATTTTTGTACACGATGGCAGCCATGAGGAGGACAAAAATGAAAAGGGAAAACTCTTTGGCTTGGATCAAGATACTGAGGGGCTTGTTTCTTGTCCAGGGCAGCAAATTGCCACGGGACTCCTTTTTCTCTAACCTGCTTGCCGTAAAAATATTGCAGTAGAAACAACAATATTGCAGCACCTTCTACCGCTGCAATAAATTGCAATAAACACAAGAACAAACAACTCACAATCAAATAAATAACAGTCGCTTGCATTAGCCTGTAAATTAAAAAAAGAAAAAGAAAAAAAAGGTGTGTTTTTATACTGCGAGCTGGAAGCCCTGAGGAAAAAAAAGACAGGATGAGCTAAGAAAGGAATTAATTAAAGCCTCCCAGAGTCCTAACGCATCTATTGAAAGCTGGGTTTTTTTTCCCCAAACTTGGCCATTTTAAGAGGCGTGGACTCCAACTCCCAGAATTCCGCAGCCAGCATGGGGAATTCTGGGAGTTGAAGTCCACTCCCCTTAAAGGTTCCAAGTTTGAAAAACACGGTATTTAAAGAGAAAAGAAAAAAAAAAACAATTGAGGCCAGTCTATATTTTCAATGCACTACGAACGGTGGCCCAAGTGTTTTGGGATCTACTGATCCCAATTTTCAACACTTGGATCTATTGCAAAAAAGGGGACATCAATCAGAAGCAGCAAGTCTGATCACAAGACACATCAGTGTACATCACCCAAATTGTCTTCGTCCTCTTAACTAGCTTGCCACCTCAGGAATAGCAAAGGACACCATCCCGTCACCAGTGGAGAATGAAGGACTCAAGTTTCCACCCAGCTGGCTTTTGGGCCAGGATTGAGAAGAAGAAGGTAGAACTTTCTCCCTCTCCCTCTCTACCTGAACTCAAATCTGGAAGAATCCAACTTCCCAAACATCTGAACGGTTCCTCTTACGAAACCTGGATTACAAATTCATATCCTGGGCTGACCTGTATATGCCATAATGTTAATACGTTGCGTCTGCACCCATGGAGATATCTTGGGAGACCTTCAGGCAAGACCGATGGAGGAACTTTAGATGGTTGCACGCCATTTTTGGAGGCTGATACCAACATGATCCCGGGGAAGAAATCTCACCTTTTCCTCAAATAAATAAGCAACCTCCACTTGCCCCAAATCAGTCTTTCAAAACAGATAGATAGTCCACCTCACCATCTGAGAAGCTGATGGATACTACACGTTTTATGGATTATCCTCTATCCCAGGATTTCACAATCTCAGCCATTTTGAGTGTTTCTCAAAATTTGGCCACTTGAAGATGGCTGGACTTCAAACTCCCAGAATTCCCCAGCCAGCTCTGGCTGTGGAATTCTGGGAGTTGAAGTCCACCCCTCTTTAAAGTTGTAGAAACTGAGAAATACTTGCAACTATCCAGATCAGGACGATCAAGAATTGAGGTTACGAGCTGCTAGGCTGTGGTACTGGTGTCCACCCCTAAAACATAACTGTACTTGAGGTTGTTGGGTTTTCCTCCGCTCCAAATCACAACCACCAAAGGGACGAGCATCTCAATACTGCAACTGGGGGATATTTTTCTGCAATACTTTTCTTGAATACTTTTCATGAGCCCTGGAGATTCTGGATTTTACTAAAATTAAAGCCGTTTTGTGGGCCCAGGCTCTAAAATGCAAAACCTTGGTGATATTTAATATTAGCTTGGGGTTATCTGTAGTTAGGCCCAGCTGTGGCCAGCTGATAATGTCCTTGGAAACAATTCAGCCTCTGTTCCTGTGTAATTCCTACCGAAGTTGTGACAGATTAGACCTTCTATATTTCTATTTCTCAATTTTTAATCAGGAATGCCTCTTGAGACCTAAACTTGCATATTTAAAAGTAGTATTATCATTTTGCAGGGAGTTCAGGATTGCACGCATGATTTTCACTTCTCAGATCCTCCTGGAAAATAGAACTGGCTAAGAGCTAGCAAGTCACACAATGAGTCCTATATCTGATTTAAATTTTGAACCCATAGCTCCGTAATTTTAGACCAAGGCTTCATTTACTGTACTATACTCTCAGATATTGCTTCCATATCTCTTCGCTGGCAGTAATGTGGACTAGAAACCTCCTGGAAGATCCATGTTTTAAATCAGTGTTTTTCAACCTTGGCTACTTGAAGACGTGTGGACTTCAACTCCCAGAATTCTCCATGCTGGCTGGGGAATTCTGGGAGTTGAAGTCCACAGGTCTTAAAGGGTGCCAAGTTTGAGAACCACCGACATAGGGGATTCATGGTTAAATCTACCCCTTCTTAATTCTCCCATCCCGTAGTTCCAAACAAGTCTTCCTTTGGGGTGGCACATAATATTAATAGAGTGGAAACCACAGGTCGGTCTTAACACCAGCACGTAGCTAAGTCCCTGAAACAATTAAAATGACAAAATGAAGAGCTTCCCCCCCACCTTCCTGTCTCTGTCGGTAGTACAGTCCAATTCATTTTCCCGCTCTCCCAATTTTTCTGCTAACTTGGAAATTATCTCCCCACCACCAAAAAAAGAAATGCTCCAAAAAGATACCAGAACATTAAAATAAAAAAGAATTTGCTAAGAACTTATTTTATCTCTTGCCAATTATGGAATGTTTCGTTCTCTCTGTTATGGGCTGCTTTGAATTCTACAGAGCAGGGGTCTCCAACCTTGTCAACTTTTAAGTCTTGTGGACTTCAACTCCCAGAATTCCTCAGCTAGCGTTGAATTCTGGGAATTGAAGTCCACAAGTCTTAAAGTTGTCCACAAGTCTTAAAGTTGTCCACAAGTCTTAAAGTTGACAAGGGTGGAGACCCCTGCTACAGAGGATCCCACCGGGACAATTTCCACCCCCTACCCAAATGAAATTGAAAGAAAGAAAAAAAAAAAAAACCAGGATGGAAAAAAATAATAATCACCGAAAGAGGTTAAAGAGATCAATGCCATTCGAATTAGCTCTGTATTACGTGTCGGGTCAAAGGGCGTTAAAGATTTCACACCGTTATTGACCGATCCTATAAAACGCAACGGAGAGGAATCGGAGGGCTTTGGAGTGGCGGGTAGGGATGGGAGAGGACAGAGACACAGCCCAAGAATTTTTCCAAGGTCCTTCAGCCTCCCATAATTTGACTTCAAGGCTCTCCTTGAACCCAAAAGGAGTGGCTTCCAGCAAAGCTCTCCCACCTAGATAAGTCCATCTCCAGACTTACTTTATCCAGAGCGCCATTCAGCCTTATCTCCCGCAAAGTGGGAGAGACAATTAAATCATTAGCTAGGTCAGTGGGGCAAGGATGCTTTTTAAGCCACTCAGGGATACACCTCAGGGGGACTTTTCCCAGCTTTGCAACCTGGGAAAACGGGATCGCTTTCAGACAAGCTTCCGAACAGGGGTAGTATTGACTTACGGTACTTCCCCTACTGGTGCGCGCGCGCGCCTCACATCCATGCATGTGCTTTGCGGGTGTGCGTGCCTTCCGTGCATGAGCCTGGCCTAAAAAACCTGCCTAAATAGGATGGCATAGAGCCGGGGCAGCACAATTTCTGCTACGGGTTCGGGCAAACTGGCTGGATACCACCTCTGCTTCTGAACCTCAAAGATCAGATCCAACAAAGGAAGACAATGCAAGCTCAACCTTCTGGCCGAGTCTTCTTCAGGTCAGCGAGGAGGGGTGAGTGGATAAGAGAAGATGCAGATGCTAGCGACAGGAATGGTTGCCCTGCTCCCTATTATAAACGTTATTTATTCTATTTATTTTTCTCAACACAGAGAACATTTTCTTTCAGTGCAAAAGGACTTTTCGGTCAAGTCTGGTGATTTAGCGGAAGCGACCAATGAATCTTTTGGATTCACTGTTGGTGACACCACCCAATTTATTATTCTCGTTTGCAAGGAAGATCCTTCAAAGAAAATCCACAGAGACCCTAAACCACCAGAGCTAAATCTCTGGAAGGCCACCGAGGAGAAAGAAGGTGGGCTGGGCTGCAGGAAGAGGGAAGGAACGGACGCTCTCACTGGTTCTCAATCTTCCCAAAACAGAAGTGAAGGAATGGATGGAATCACCAGTTGATGGCCTACAGGTTCTCCTGGCTGAACCCAAAATTTAAACACGTTCAAGGCTCTGAAATATTTCCTTCGCGCAATGTAATGGCCAAAATCTGCTACTTGTGTGAGGAGACGTTCTAAAAAAAAAAACACGACAAGACAAAGAGGATTAAGCTTTGGCTTTCCAACTACAATATCTGTACGTCCCACAGCAGACTTTACAGGAGTTGCTAGGACATCCGTAAATAGGCATAAAAGTGACTTCTGCCTCCATCTTTACGTTCTGCTTGCATCCCCCTTTTTTGCTTTTGACACAATCCACGCATCCTTGAGGGACCTCAATTGTGTGATGCTAGATTACAATCCAAAAAAACAAAACAACCCCCCCCCCAAACCCCCAGATAATCAGGCTTATCTCTGCGGGGTTTTCAGGTGGGCTAATTCATCCCTTTTCAATCGCGTTTTCCTCTTTCTTTCCAGCGAGCTCAGCATAAAGACAAGATCAAGAGAAACCACCTCAACAAACAGGTAGCGGCGGCGGTGGGAGGCTCCGCCCAGACGTCATCAAAAACGCTCTCCGCATGCACTCGCGCCGGGATTTGAATCCCGCTACTGAGTTGGTTGGAGAATACTAAAATTAGCTAGTCTAAAATTAGGGAGGCCTACACTTTTTTGAGACGCAAGAGAAAAAGACAGGCATGAGGTATATATATTATTTTTTTTACAGTCCGCAAGTTTCAAGCTATGGTTTGTCAGGATTTTAAAAGGACAAAGGGGGTCGAGTGAAACCTTACTCATTCCCTCTCATTCGTCCCACACCCCAAAAGCACGGATTTCCCCCCCCCCGAGTCATAAAACCTGACTCCAGTGCCCCCCCCCCCCAAAAAAGGCAACCCAGTTTCTCCTGAGACACATAAGTTGTGTAACGGTTTGGCATTGGGTTCGTTCCTTGATTTTTGTCGTTGTTAAAAAAAAAGGAAAAAAAAAGAAGAAACAACAACGCAACGCAACACAATGCCAGAATAGCGCAAGAGGAAGACTAGAACGCTAACTCGAGGTTGGACTCACAAACGGATACGAAAAGCAAAGAGACGGAGTGGGCAGCCGGTCGCCGATTCAGGATGGCAGAGATGTTGGGTGGGTGGGGGGTGCGAGGAAGCGTGTCTCAGGACGACAACGAAGCCCCCGTATGCGTGGAACCCCAGCGAGTGCCAGTCGCTTGCTCGTTCTCGGAGATAAATGTCCAGTCGTAAAGAGTGAACGCTCGCGTGGATCAGTCGTCATTCTTTCCGTCCGGCGGTTCAATCCCAGCCGTTATCTTTGATCATGTGAGCTAATTCGATGATGTATTTGCCTTCTTTATATTTCTGACTGCTCTCAAAGGCGTGTTCCTTTGAAACGACAACAACGACAATGACAAAAAAGAAAAAGAAAAGGCATTAACAAAATCTGGCTTTGAAAGTGTCACGGTTCAAACTTTCCTTAAAACGTTCATGAGGTAAACTCAAAAAGGCGCTTTTTGTCAAAAGACAACTGGGCTGTTTTTGTCCTGGGGGAAGAAGAGGTTTCCCTTTTCATCCAAGAAGCTTTATCAGTTCTACCACAATGATGGGGATGACAGAGGGATTCGTTCTGACAGGATGAGGAAGGGGGGAGTTGGAAAGATCCTATTTCTTAAGACCAGATGACAGCAATGAAAACATTTTAGAATGCCTAGAACAGAATATGGCTAACATTGGCTTAATTTTATGAGAAATTGAAAACCAGATAATGTATCAAAGCACATTTTGGTCTTAAAGTCCCTTGATTTAAAACAGTGTTTTCAAACTTGGCAACGTTAAGACGTGTGGATTTCAACTCCCAGAATTCCCTAGCCAGCCATGCTGGCTGGGGAATTCTGGGAGTTGAAGTCCACACGTCTTAACGTTGTCAAGTCTGGGGAAAAAATAACCTAACACATCCTTCTTTTCCAATTTTTAAAATCCTATCAAAGGGGACCATGATGGCACCATAAACTCTCCCCCTTTCGTATGTGTGCGGCAGTGTCACACCCACAGGAGGGGTGCGCTTGCATTGAACTAAGAAATTTCCTAGAACTAAGGAGAAAATTCCCGACAGTGAAAACAATTAACCAGTGGAACAACTTGCCACCAGAAGTTGTAAATGCTCCAACACTGGAAGTTTTAAAGAAGATGTTGGATAACCATTTGTCTGAAGTGGTGTAGGGTTTCCTGCCTAAGCAGGGGGTTGGACTAGAAGACCTTCAAGGTCCCTTCCAACCCTGTTATTCTATTCTATTCTATTCTATTCTATTCTATTCTATTCTATTCTATTCTATTCTATTCTATTCTATTCTATTCTATTCCATTCCATTCATTGCTATCCTATCCTATTCCATATTTTTTCTTCTCTCCTCAATTCTATTCTATTCTATTCTATTCTATTCTATTCTATTCATTCCTATCCTATTCTATCATATCCTTTCTTTTTATTCCATCCCATTCCTTCCGTTCCATTCCCTTCCCTTCCCTTCATTCCTATCCTATCCTATCCTATCCTATCCTATCCTCTCTTTTCTATTCCATCCCTTCCCTTCCCTTCCCTTCCCTTCTATTCTATTCATTTGTATCCTAGCCTATTCCATATTTTTTCTTCTCTCCTCTTCCTGTTCCGTTCTGTTCTATTCTTCTGTTTTGTTCTGTTCTTATTCCTATCCTATTCCTATTCCTATCCTATCCTATCCTTATTCCTATTCCCATTCCATTCTGGTTTCAATAAAAATAAAATATATAAAAAAAATGCAAATATCTGAGAGTTGAAGTCCAGCTAATCTGGATGGTTCTTGAATGGAGAAAGTTTGGTGTCTCGCTTTTGTTTTGACCAAGGTTGCTTTTTATCTCGTTCTGCTTTTATTCTCTATCGATTGCGCCTTTCCCCGAGATGTATCGATCTAGGGCACGCTACAAATAGTTGAATTGAATAATGAATGAATTATTGGAGCGAAACTCTAGGGCAGTGATGGCTAACCTTTTTGCCATCGCGTGCCAGGAAGGGGGGGCGAGGGAGGTTCGCGAGCGTGCACGTGCCCACACCCATAATTCTATGTGCCCCGCTCTGTGCATACATGCATGCATGACCCCCCCTTCCCCACCCCCCGCTCCTGGAACACAATGGCCTGGTAGGCCCATTTTTCTTTCTTACCTGGCTCCAGATCCTCTCTATGCATCTGGGGAGGGCAAAAACAGCCTTCCCCACCCTCTCAGAAGCCCGAAACGCCCCGTTTCCCAACTTCCGGTTGGACAGGAAATGACATTTTTGTTGTCCCCAGCCTCCAGAGACTCCTAGAGAGGCTGAGCTGGCATGCCAGGTGACATGGCTCCATGTGCCACCTGTGGCACGCGTGCCATAGATTCGCCATCATGGCTCTAGGGCCTTGCTGTAATTCTAACCATTGGGTTTAATTTCTTTGCCTTCTAAAGAGAAGGAGGGATCACTTTTTTGAATGGATAGGCCTGTTATTTCGCCAGATTTTGACCCAACACCCCATGGCATCCAGTTATGGCTTTACAGGTAGTCCTCGACTTACAACAATTTGTTTAGTGACCATTCAAAGTTACAACAGAACTGAAAAAAGTGACTTATGGCCGTTTTTCTCAGTTACGACCGTTGCAAGATATCCCCGTGGTCATGTGATCAAAATTTGGATGCTTGGCAACTGACATGTACTTATGACAGATGAAGTGTCTTGGGGTCATTGGGTCACCTTTGGTGACCTTCTGATAATGGGAAGCCAGATTCACTTAACAACCGTGTGACTAACTAAACCACAGCAGCGATTCACTTAACTGGGTCAAGAAAAGGCACCTTCTATCATATGTGGTGGTCCTGCCCTGAGACAAAAAGGTTTTGGACTAGAATACAAAATTGGTTACGAGAAATAGTTGAAGAAGAAATAAATTTATCCCCTGAAATCTTTTTATTGGGAATGATCAGAGATGGATTTTCTAAAGATAAAATCCATCTTATAATTCATATTACAACAGCGGCCAGACTAGTTTTGCAAAGTACTGGAAGGATAAATCAACTCCTCCAGAGGAAATACTAATAAACAAAATCTTAGAATGTGCAGAAATGGCAAAATTAACAAGTGATCTTAATAATGATGTGAACTCAAAATTCTATGTAGTATGGGAAAGGTGGTACAAATGGTGGAATAATAGAATAAGATTGTTATGTTAGGATATACTTATCTTTAGTAATGGTAGTTTCGAATTTATTTGATATATATATTTTGCAAATATGTAAATACACGACACCTCGGATGTTAACGGAGATTTGATGTTTTCTACAATTTTAAAAACTAATAAAGTATATTTAAAAAAAAAAAAAGGTCATAAAATGGGGCGGGGGAGGGAAACTCACTTAACAATTGTATTGCTTAGCAATAGATATTTTGGCCTTGATTGCGGTCGTAAGTCTGAGTGGCCACCGCACCACTCACAATCAGGAGGCTGTGAGTTCGATCCTAAGTAGAGGCAGATATTTCTCTCTCTGGGCACAATGAGAATATATCTGCTGAACAAAACTCTGTATTGGCAACAGGGAGGGCATCCGGCCAGTAAACACTCAGCTCCATTCAGTTGTGCAGACTCCACCCGGCAAGGAATTTTGGGGTCATTGAAAGATGATGATTGCGGTTGTTAGGTCGAGGACTACTTATAGTGAAGCAAAGGAGTAGCTCGCTAGTGTTTCCACAGAAGTGAGGTGCTTGTATCGCAAAACACTTTGCTTAGTGTGAAAAGCCAGAGACGTAAATGGTGAGAATAACGTATTTTCTTAAAATATCACAGGTCTGAATATCACAAGAGCCCCACGGCCGTTTGAAAGAATCTGTTCTGCAGAAATCCAGAAGGAAGCTTATAAACTTGTTTTTTTTACAAGTAGTCTTCGACTTACGGACAATTGTTTAGCAACTGTTTGAAATTACGACACCTTCCCACCAAAAGCTACTTACGACCTTGCAGGTAATCCTCGACTTACGACAATAATTGAGCCCAAAATTTCTGCTGCTACGTGAAACATTTGCTACGTGAATTTTTTTCCCCCTTTTACGACCTTTCTTGCCACGGTTTGTTAAGTGAATCCCTTCAGTTGTTGAGTTAGTAATATGGTTGTTAAATGAATCTGGCTTCCCCATTGACTTGGCTTCTCAGAAGGCTATAAAAGTTGATCACATGACTTTGGGACACAGCGACGGTCATATCAACCAATTCAGGGGTGGGTTCTAAATTTTTTTTACTACCGGTTCTGTGGGCGTGGCTTATTTTGTGGGTGTGGCTTGGATGTCATATGACTAGGTGGGCGTGGCTAGCTGGTCAGTCATTTCTGGAAGGTCCTCACACTTACGACCAGTCCTCGCACTTACGACCCGACTCATTTGTTTGCTTTTAACACTGATCAGCTGTAGGGCGGCACTTTGAAGCCCCGCGGCAAGAGTTTAAACAGTTTTTTTCCCTCTAGTCATCAGCTGGGACTCAGGAGGCAGCAATAGATTGGGGGGGGGGAACAAAAAAAAAAAAAAAAAAAAGGGGGGGGGGGGGGGGGGGGGGGGGGGGGAGAACCGGTTCGGTGATGTCATATCGTCACCGCTACCGGGTCGGCCGAACCGGACCGAACCGGGAGGACCCCACCACTGAACCAATTGCTAAGCATTTTTGCCTGCCAGAAGGTCGCAAATACTACGATGTCATAAATACGAGTCAGTTGCCAAGAAAGCCCAATTTTGATTATAGTGACCATAGGGATGCTGCAATGGTCATAAGTTGAAAAATGAACTTAAATCACTTTTTTCAGGGCCACTGTAACTCTGAACGGTCACTAAAGGGACTGTTGTAAGTCGAGGAAGTTCTGACCCAGCCTTAGCAGACACAAGAAACAGACTACTTGTCACGAAAAAACCCTCTTTGTTTACCTCTTATGAATTAATTGCATTCACCCACCGAAAAGTCCAGGCAAGAGTCCTTCAAGGAGTTAACGGCAGCAACAGTTAACTTATCAGTTCTTTGCGATAATTGCCAGGCCGGGAGCTCCCAGCCGAATGGCTGCCAATTAAGTTCTGGCAAGCAGTCTTTGTGGCACGAAACACAATGAGCAAAATCTTCAGAAATACGAACGGTTGTCTCCTACGACCACCACTCCCCTTTCCTTCTATTTATTCTCCAGCCAGGGAGGGGCCATTCAGCGTCCACTTGTGCCTTGCTTCCCGAGTCGATTCCTTGTCCTCCGTTGCTCACCTCTCCTAACTGCTCTACGCATACGTGAATCTGGAACAGGCCCCAGCTGTTCTTCCTCCTCACTCATATCAGCCTCCAAAGGCAACTGCCTCTCCGGTGGCTGGGAAATGTCGGACGGCCCTGGCTCTATCTCTGCATCCGACGCAGACCATCCATCAGAGCCTTCCCCAGACTCCAGAACTGGCCCAAGTTCCTCCCCAACCTCCTCATCATCTGAGTCTGCTGCTAGCTCTGCTGGCAGCTGGCAAGCCACAATAGAGGACTATCTGTATTATCAAAGTTATGATGGTTAACCATCTCTTTCGCAGTTATGTGTCTGTATTTGGGGCATTTGACAATCACTTCACTTTGTGGTTTGCAGTGTTTGTGACTTTTTTTTTTTGCCAGTTTCTTGTGTTTAGAGCTGAATCACTTAACAATTGCCATGTTCCTTTAATGAACCACCACATTCATTCACTTAACGACTGCCACGTCTGCTTAACAACCAACTCAAAAAAGTAAAAAAAAGAGATGAAGTCATTAAGAAAATGATGGAATGTGCTGAAATGAGTAAATAGACATTTGAAATTAGAGAACAGGAAGACAAAACAATATTATTTGATATGGGATTTGTTTTACCAATGGCTAGATAATAAGGCATGGAAATGAAGTATGAAATGAAATTAATGTAATGATAACATATAAGAAGTATTTTGTTTCTTTTTTTTTCATGGGAGTCAAACTTTTGTTAAATAATTGTTAAATGAGAAAAATAACATAAAGGGATATATAAAATTGTCAAATAAGAGAAATTAAATAATTTGTAAATTGTGGATATGGGATTAAGCACAAAAGATTTTTAATTGATCGACACACTTTCTGTGATTGTAATGGATGATGGTTGTTTTATGTTTTGTTATGTTTAAAAATAAAAAATTCTTTGGAAAAAAAAAGAAGGAAAAAAAAGAGTCCGGTGACATGATGTCTCGATTTATGACCAGAATTCCAAGCTCAATTACGGTCGTAAGTCGAGGACTATTTGTAAAGTGCCAGATATGTATTGCAGGTAGTCCTCACTTACGACGACAATTTTCTGTTGTTAATGAAACATTTGTTAAGTGAATTTTGGCCCATTTTGCGACCTTTCTGGCCACCGTTGTTAAGTGAAATCACTGCAGTGGACATGTTAGCAACTTGGGTTATTAAGTGAATCTGGCTTCCCCATGGATTTTGCTTGTCAGAAGGTTGTAAAAGTTGATCAAAAGTTGACTTTGGGACACTTGGAAGCGTCATAAATGTGAGTCAGTTGTCAAGCATCAGAATTTTGATCACATGATTATGGGGATGCTGCAAAGGTTGCAACTGTGAAAAACAGTCATAAGTCACTTTTCCCAAGTGACTTTGGTCACTAAACGAACTGTTGTAAGTTGGGGGACTACCTGTATAAAAAATATAACCTAATTGTTCAAATCATGTAGGATGCGGAAGGATTCATCCTGCCCTGATTTGAAAGTCCATGCTTCCTTTTGCAGCAAATCTTATTTATTTAGTAAGATAGGGATGTGGTGGCTCAGTGGCTAAGACGCTGAGCTTGTCGATCGAAAAGGTCTGCAGTTCAGCGGTTCGAATCCCTAGTGCCGCATAACGTGGTGAGCTCCCGTTACTTGTCTCAGCTTCTGCCAACCTAGCAGTTCGAAAGCACGGAAAAACATGCAAGTAGAAAAATAGGGACCACCTTTGGTGGGAAGGTAACAGCGTTCCGGGCGCCTTTGGCGTTGAGTCATGCCGGCCACATGACCACGGAGACGTCTTCGGATAGCGCTGGCTCTTCGGCTATGAAATGGAGATGAGCGCCGCCCCCTAGAGTCGGGAATGACTAGCACATATGTGCGAGGGGAACCTTTACCATTATCTTAAGATAGATTCCTATTGAAATCACAACTCGGCATACAACACAACAGATCCTGAGTTGTGTCAAGCTGTTCTTAGCAAGGCCGAAGAAAACCTTCTTAGGCACATAGAAAATTTAGAAAAAGACCCAGGTTTTTTTTTCTTCATCATTGAGTCAACCCTTTTTGAGTTTTCTTTTCTTTTTTATTAATTCATTTCCTCGTAATTTTTAAATGATTTTTTTTTTTTTAAATTTACGGGTGGTCTTGGGCCTACCACCACAACTGAGTCCAAAATTTATGCCGCTAAGCAAGACATCGGTTAAATGAGTCTTGTCCGATTTTATGACTTTTCTTGCCACGGCTGTTAAGTGAATCCATCCAGTTAGTTAGTCCGTTAAGTTAGTAACAGTTGTGAAGTGAATCAGGCTGGATTTGCGGGTCAGAAGGTCGCAAAAAAAAGGATCACGTGACCCTGGGACGCTGCGACCGTCGTAACTATGAGCCGGTTGCCAAGGGCCTGAATTCTGATCACGTGACCACGGGGATGCTGCAATGGTGTGAAAAATGATCGTAAAGTCACATTTTTCACAGCTGTTCTAACTGTCAACCCTGAAGCTGACCTGACGGAGCCCATTTTGACAGCTTCAGTGTTGCCACACTGGAGCTGAGGGATAGGGAGGGGGGGAAATAGAGATAGCTGAGGTTTTGTAGCCAAAACAAAATACTTTCTCTTGGGAACCAAGGCCATTCTCACACCCGGTCAGAGAGACAGGAGGAGTGAAGTCACCAGGCGACTGGATGGCACCGTGATTGAGCCATGTGATGTTTGGAGAAGGGGAAAAACTTTTACATTTAATTAGGTGAAAATCGTGGGAATCTTCAGAGTCGGTTTTCACCAGAACTGTGCCAATATGATATATCCAGGGGGTGGGCTGCTGGGGGTTCGCAGGGGTTCGGGAGGACCTCTAGCTAAGATTCTGTGCAGTTCGGAGAATCCCCAAATCCCACTCCTGGCTGGCCCCGCCCATCCTGCCCCACCCCGCCCCACCCCACCCCTCCCAGGAATCCCCATGCGGCCCATTTTAGATGCAGGGAAGTGCAGGGCACACACGGCGGCTCGGGGAGGGTGAAAAACGGGCCTACCGGAAGTTCGGGAAGTTCCAGCCTCCAGAGGGCCTCCGAAGCCTGGGGAGGCCGTTTTCGCCCTCCCAGAGGCTCAAGGAAAGCCTCCGGAGCCTGGGGAGGGCAAAAACAACCCTCCCCCGCCGTGGTGCAGGAGGCTGGCTAGGCCACACCCACCATGCCCACCCAGCAACCAGGCAGAGAACCCCTTGCTAAAATTTTTGAAACCCACCTCTGGATATATCCTATGAGACTATTCTTTGAGGAATCTACTTGCCTCGGAGTTTTGTCTGCTATGGGTGTATTCCTTGAAACCCTGACATTAACTTTGAATGGTCATTAAATGGACTATAAATATAGGAGGACTGTATTTTATCTTCCATTTTTAATTTTTCTTTGGGTGATGAACATGTGTTTCTCCCAAGCATGTTTAAACCTGGTTACTGATGATTGGCCCTCTAGCTCTCCTTCTCTATGACCTCACTTTCCTCTGCCTGTTTTTAGTATCATCTAAACTGTTTAATAAGATTACTTCGCTTCTGCCATTAAGCTTATTCAGGTGGGTGGCCTGCAGCTCCCTGGAAACATTCAGAGAAAATTAAGTGCAGGTAGTCCTCGACTTACAACGGTTCATTTAGTGACCGCTCAAAGTTACAACGGCTCTGAAAAAAAGTGACTTAGGACCGTTTTTCACACTTACGACCGTGGCAGCGTCCCCCGTGGTCAACATGATCAAAATTCAGGTGGCAACTGGTTCATATTTATGACGGTTGCAGTGTGCCAGGGTCACGCAATCCCTCTTTTGCGACCTTCTGACAAAGTCAATGGAGAAGCCTGATTCACTTAACAACCGGGGTTACAAACTTATCCGTGATTCATTTAACAACTGTGGTAAGAAAAGTCGTATACTGGGGCAAACTCACTTAAGAAATGTTTCACTTAGCAACATAAACTTTGGGCACAATTGTGGTCGTAACTTGAGGACTACATGGATTTATGACAGTTACAATGTCCTGAGGTCATGTGATCTCTTTTTGGGACCTTCTGACAAGCAAAAGTCAACAGGGAAACCAGATTCATTTACACAACCCGTGTTACTAACTTAAACAATTGCAAGGATTCACTTAACAAAACTTTCACTTAGCAACATAAATTGTGGCGCTCAATAATTGTGGCCGTAACTCGAGGACTACCTGCACTGACGCCCTGCAGGTTGAAAACCGGGGTCTCATGGGGAAAAAAAAAATATTTCGGCCCTTGATAATAAGAATAAGAAGCAACCCATCACCACTCACATATTTCCAACCAAGTGTAGTTTTGCAATTTTCACAGTAAATATCAGCCACGGCGTGGAGTCCCGTTAGCAGAATTCGCTCCTCTGCCGGACCGCAGCCCACGTTGACTCTGTGGGTAACAAGAGGATGGGAAGAGAGAGAAAACGCTTCATTTCACTGAAGGAGCAAGCTAACATCCTTGTCACAGATGGTCAAGTATTATCAACTATATTCCAGAGCTGTTTCTCTTAAACGTGATCACTTTAAGAAGTGTGGACACTTCAATTCCCAGAATTCCCCCAACCCCATCATGGCTGGCTAGGGAATTCTGGGAATTGAAGTCCACACCTCATAAAGTCAGCAAGGTTGATAAAACAGTGCTCTGGGGTGTACAGAAATATTAAAAACGAAGTCAGTTTTTTTGAAGATACATTTTACATTATTTTTTTTACAAATTCATGTGAAGTATTAGTACCGTTTTATAAAGCCTTGATAAGGCCACACCTGGAATATTGCACCCAGTTTCGGTCCCCGCATTACAAAAAAAGATGTTGAGACTTTGGGAAAAAGTGTAAAGAGGAGCAACTAAGAGGATTAAAGGCCTGGAGACAGAAATCAGGGGTGGGTTCTAAATTTTTTTTACTACCGGTTCTGTGGATGTGGCTTTTGTGGGTGTGGCTTGGAGGTCATGTGACTAGGTGGACGTGGGTAGCTGGTCAGAGTCATTTCTGGAAGGTCCTCACACTTACGACCAGTCTTCGCACTTACGACCCGACTCATTTGTTTGCTTTTAACACTGATCAGCTGTAGGGCGGCCCTTTGAAGCCCCGTGGCAAGAGTTTAAACAGTTTTTTTCCCTCTAGTCATCAGCTGGGACTCAGGAGGCAGCAATAGATTGGGGGTGGGACCAAATAAAAGGTAAGAATAACGTGGGGAGTTGGGAGGGCGGGGGGGAGAACCGCTACTCGTTGGGAAGAACCGACGTATCGTCACCGCTACTGGCTCGGCCGAACCGGACGGAACCGGGAGGAACCCACCACTGACAGAAACATATGAAGAATGGTTGCAGGAATTGGGTATGGACAGTCTAGAGAAAAGAAGGATTTAGGGGTGACATGATAGCAGCATTTCAGTATTTGAGGGGCTGCCACAAAGAAGAGGGGGTCAACCTATTCTCCAGAGCACCTGAAGGCCGGACAAGAAGCAACGGATGGAAATTAATCAAGGACAGAAGCAACCAGGAATTAAGGAGAAATTTCCTAAGAGTAAGGACAATATTAACCAGTGGAACAGCTTGCCACCAGAAGTTGTGGGTGCTTCATCACTGGAGGTTTTTAAGAAGAGACTGGACAGTCACTTGTTTGAAATGGCATACGGCAGTGTCAGCAAACCTTTTCGGCACCGAGTGCCGAAATTGGAGCACGCGCACATGCGCATACATACCAGAAACTGGAATAGCAGCCACCCGGTATGCACGCGCTGGGCGGCTACTCTTCCGGTTTTCGGCACGCGCATGCATACCGGCCACCTCGTCTTCCGGTTTCTGGCACAGATGCGCGTGCAAAGACCAGCTGTTCGGTGCGCATGTGTGTGCCAGAAACCGGAAGATCATCTTCCCGGAGCGCACAGGCTGGTCTTCACATGTGCATATGTGTTGTGGCCCGTCAGCGGCCTGTGCAGCTAGTAGCTGATTCAGACAGCGAGGAGGCTGGTTTGGTGCTGCGCCAGCAGCCTCTGCAGCTGGTGCTTGAGTCAGACACTGAGGAGGCTGGAGAAGATGTGGTGCCAGGGGTGGAGATTCAGCCAGGGCCTTCAGAAGCTCCCATAAGTGAAGTGAAGAGGAAGAAGAGGAGGAGCCTCTTCTCAATGCACGAGCGCGCAGAGCTGTTAAAAGGCAGGAGTGGCTCCTCAGGAGGAGGTCTCCTCGAGAGTAAGGCTTGGGGCTAATGGGCCACTCCCCTAGCCTATTTAAGGAAGGACAACGACTGATGCAATTTGCAGGAAACAACTTCGTTCATATTCCTTCGCGTCTTGATTCCAGAAACGTTTGATTCAGCTCTCGTTTCTCTCTCGTCAAGTGTTCCTGCAAATTGCTTCTGGGCATTCTGCCAACCACAGTAAGATTATGGTTATCTGAAAGACTGTGCCTCAGAATTGAGTTATTCTTCTTTGGATTCTTGTCGGCTGTTAAGGAAGTTAAATTAACAGCCCTTGTTCAGAAAAGACTGATTTAAACTCTACTTGTGTTCAAACAACTACTAAGAAAGCTCATTAGTAGTCCTTAATTAGCAAACTAAGGTTTGTACAGATTTTATGTGTGCTGTGTTTTTTGGGGTCCTTAGCTGGGGCAGAACAATATGCGCCAGAAACCGAGGTGGCCGGCACGCATGTGCACTCGGCGGCTGCTCTTCTGATTTCCAGTGCTTCCATGTGTGTGAAGACAAGCTTCCAGAACCTGGAAGACCAGGGGTGGGTTCTAAATTTTTTTACTACCGGTTATGTGGGCGTGGCTTATTTTATGGGCATGGCTTGATGGTGACAATTATTTAGGATTTAGCAGAGGTACTGGTCTACCTGGCTTTTAACTGCTTGCAGAGCTGTACCGATCTACCCATTTATTTTTGCAGGCACTGATCTACTCATGTATTTTTGCACGGTCTACCCATTTATTTTTGCAGGCACTGATCTACTCATGTATTTTTGCAGGGGTCTACCCATTTATTTTTGCAGGCACTGATCTACTCATGTATTTTTCAGGCACCGGTCTACCCATTTATTTTTGCAGGCACCGGTCTACTCATTTGTTCTCTTTTAACACTGATCAGCTGTAGGGCGGCCCTTTGAAGCCCCGCGGCAAGAGTTTAAACAGGTTTTTTCCCTCTAGCCAGCAGCTGGGACCCAGGAGGCAGCAATAGATTGGGGGTGGGGCCAAATAAAGGTAAGGATAACGCGGGTGGGTGGGCACGGGGGGGGGCAGAACTGGTTCGGTGACGTCATATCGTCACCGCTACTGGCTCGGGAGAAGCGGGCCAAACCGGGAGGAATCCACCACTGCGGAAGACTAATGGGTGACGGCTCACGTGCCTGGAGAGATGGCTCCGTGTGCCACTTCCGGCACGTGTGCCATAGGTTTGCCATCATGGGAATAGGGTCTCCTGCTTGGTTGGACTAGAAGACCTCCAAGGTCCCTCCCAGCTCTGTTCGGATGGATTCATTGATTGATTCAACACAATTCAATGAACCTGAAACCATGTGTGTCTCCCAGAGCACTGTATTTAATGTTGAGATACCTCAGAGAGGCTTTTATTACTGTTGTGGCTCCGTTACCTGAGCCTGTGTCATCGGCAGGAGAGGACTCCGAGAGTGAAGGAGAGGAGTTGGCAAGGCCTCCCTCTCCAGGACCCTCCTCTCTGGCAATGCCTTCGGTGTCCGCCGAAGGGCAAGAGATAGGGCCGGGGCCAAGCACGTCCATGCAGCCACAGATGGACAGTGATGAGGGTAATGAGTCTTGGCTGGATCCACGCCAACGTCGCAGAGATAAGCGTGCGCAACAGAAGAAAAGGCGTGCCCGAGATTAGGCTGAGTCACTGGACCACAAGGTATAAAAGGAAGCGTGGTGGCCAGTCAAACCTTGTGACGAACAAAGCTGAAAGCTTCCACGCCGTTCTGCATTGCCGGACTTTTGTTATAGACTTTGCTGGATTATCTTTGGACTTGATTGAATCCATAATTATTGAGCTGTTTCCTTTGATGTACCAGAAGTGGGGAGAAGTTATCTCTCCTCTTCGTAAGTAATAAACTCTTGGCAGGCAGCCACTAGGTTGTTGCCAAGTTCTGTTATCATAAGGAAAAGGATTTTGCCGGCTGGTTTGGTTTTTAACTCTTGAACGTCCGTTGGTGTGTGTGCGTGTGGGACAGGGACAGAACAATTACTAGTAGATTATGCACTCATAATGTTACAGTCAGGACATATTATGGGTCGGGCCCTCAAGCACCCAAGATAACCATGGAAGTCCCAGATAAAATGAATTAAAACACTCAAATATTCCCGAAAGGGGTGAGGTGATGGGTGACTTCACATCAAACTTTTGTTCAATTTCAGGCCACACAAGCTGCCTGGCAAGGTTTTGTGCAATCCAGATCGCACAAAATCCAAGGAGGAGATATCAAAACTATGCAATATTTGTTTATTTCAAAGGATATGGATCGTTGTATATGCCCTATTTTTGGGGGGCCAGAAGAGCTGTACAGTTTGGGAAAACTTGACAATCTTTGTGTTAAGAGTTTTACTTTCTAATCGTTGCTTATATTTGGGTGGGGGGGGATAGGCTGGATAAAGGAGCGTGAAGACCCTCCTCAGCTCTAGAAGCTCAGGGAACAATTGTGGGACAATTGTGGGAGCCTGCTTTGCAGGGTTGTTGTGGAGAAAATAGGAAAAGTAGGTGCTACACTTTTGAGGAATACTGGGGCAGAAATCTAGCAAATAAGTGAACGACACTCCAAAATAAGTGACAGAGAGACTACATGAGATGGCAATCCGTAGGAAATCTTCTAGGTGTGCCCGGTTTTTAGGTACAGTCCTCACTTAGCAACTGCCTTGTTTAACGACTGATGTCATTTACAATCACGATAGAAAATAACCTCACCTTTCAGCGAGATGGGCAGAAAACAAATTTAATAAATAAATACGAATAACAGAATAACAAGGAAGGGACCTTGGAGGTCTTCTAGTCCAACCCCCTGCTTAAACAGGGAAACCTATACCATTTTGTCTCAAATGGTATTTGCCATTTAAATAAATAAACGTTGCCACCATTTTTTTTTTTTTGCATTTATGGCCTTCTCTGGTCCAGAAAGCAAAAAAAAAGACTTAAGACTTTTTTATTTCATCAAGCTGGCCTGGCCTAAATCTTCTCCCCTTTTTAAATGCAAATTTTAATTTGTTTTTAAATTATGGGGTATTTTAAATTTGTTCAGCCAAATTATTTAATTCGTTTTTATTCTATTTTAAATTTTTGTATTTATGTGTTTTATCCTGTGGCTGTTCACCACCTTGAGTCCTTCGGGAATAGGGCGGTATAGAAATTTAAATAATAAATAAATAAATAAATGCAGAAACATCATCCCAACAGAGTTATGATTCCACTTAGCAACCATTCTCCTTAACAACCAAGTTGCCAGACCGAACTGTGGTTGTTAAACAAGGATGACCTGTACAGGAATGGCACACAGGAATAGCTTAGTCTTTGTCACTTTTTCCATTTCTAATGTCATGTCTTCATTTATCTCCCCAATAGGCTTGGGGCGGCCTGGTTTCTTCTAATCTCATGAAATTTTTCAGTGAAAAACTAAATTCTGAAGAAAATGTCTCGCATCCGAGATCGAAAAACCGTGAATCGAACAGGCTTGTTGGCAATCTTGCGGTTGTGGGCAAGGGTCTCTAAACTTGGCAACTTTTAAGACTGGTGGACTTCAATTCCCAGAATTCCCCTTGCCAGCATGGGGAATTCTGGGAATTGAAGTCCAGAAGTTTTGAAATTGCCAAGTTTGGAGACCCGTCGCGAGTCACGTTGCTGTCGTGTGACGTTTCGCGATGTTTTTCCCCCTTCACAGAGCTGGGGTGGGCGTGGTCTCCACGTGACACATCCGGCCCGCAGGCCGCCAGTTTGACACCCCTGTTGTAGGGTAACGTTTCTCAATTTTAAGCCATGGGGACTTCAACTCCCAGAATTCCCTAGTCAGTGTGACTAGAATTCTGGGAACTGAAGTCCATATATCTTAAAGCTGCAAAGTTTGAGAAATACTGCCCTTAGGCAGCTTATCAAGATTTCCACTGTAGAGAAAAGACAAGTGTATTCTATATAGGCCTTCGTTCAAATTATGGAAAACTACATTCCTCCCCCCCCAAATTTTAAAACAAATTAACCAAAAAAACACACACCCCTGTAAGGTGTTAGGCTCATTCAAACCAGCATTTCAACTAACTGGGTTTTTGACAAGATGCAATGAATGGAAACTAATCAAGGAAGAGAACCAACTTAGAAATAAGGAGAAATTTCTTTGACAGTTAGAATAGCTCGCCTCCAGAAGTTGTGACTGCTCCATCACTGGAGGTTATCAAAAGTAAACTGGATAACCATATGACCAAGATGGCCAAGATAACAGGGATAGCTAACCTTTTTGCCGTCACGTGCCGAAAGTGGGAGGAGAGCGGAGGGGTTGTGTGCACATGTGCCCACACCCATTATTCAATGCATCCCACCCACTGCACATGCGTGCGTGACCCTTCCTCACTCCCCCCGCTTTTGGCATGTGATGGCCCGGTGGGCCGGGTAGGCCTGTTTTTTGCCCTCCCCAGGCGCCAGAGGCTTTCTAGGATTCTGGGGAGGGTGAAAACAGCCTTCCCACCACCCCCGGAGGCCCTCCGGAGGCCGGAAAAGCCCGTTTCCCAACTTCTGGTTGGCCCCGAAGGCCCAAAAATTAGCTGGCCAGCTGGAGGGCAATGCTCGTGTGACCACAGATATGGCTCCATGTGCCATCTGTGGCACGCGTGCCATAGGTTCGCCATCACGATACTATAAGGTCTTCTGCCTTGGACAAGGGCCTGGTGGCTCAGCAGACTGATAGCATTGTGATTAACACCAGCTGTCTGCAATTACTGTAAGTTCGAATCTCACCAGGCTCAAGGTTGACTCAGCCTTCCATCCTTTCTAAGGTGGGTAAATTGAGGACCCAGTTCGTGGGGGCAATAAGCTGACTTTGTATAAATATACAAAAGTATGAAGGCTATTGCTTAACGCATTGTAAGCCGCCCTGAGTCCCCGGAGAAGGGCGGCATATAAATCAAATTAAAAAAATTAAAAAGGGGAGTTTGGACTGAGATCTCTTCCAGCCCTATGATTATGTTCCAGTTTTGTATCCTAATTATTTTGATGAAAAGAAGGACTAGGGGAGACATGATGGCAGTCTTCCAATATCTCGGGGGTTGCCACAAAGAAGAGGGGTCCATCTATTCTCCAAAACCCCTGAAGGCAGGACAAGAAGCAACGGGTGGAAACTAATCAAGGAGAGAAGCAACCTAGAACTTCCTGACAGTTTGAACAATTAACCAGTGGAACCACTCGCCTCCAGAAGTTGTGAATGCTCCAACACCGGAGGTTGTTAAGAAGAGATTGGGCAACCATTTGTCTGAAATGGTATAAGGTTTCCCGCTTGAGCAGGGGGTTGGACTAGATGACCTCCAAGGTCCCTTCCAACTCTTGTTATTCTTTTACCCTGTTATTCTCTACTGCCAGCGAGGCAAGCTACAAAGAGTAACACAGCTGTTCCTTACAGCTTATCTTTCAGTAATAAGATAAATTTCCTCCCCATCTGGAAGTTTTATTTTAGTCCTCCAGCTACAGATAGCCTTTAAAAAAAGGAGAACAAGGTTAAAACTATTGCAGTTAACAGTCCTCTCTGTTCGGTTAATTTTGCCACAAGACCAGGCATTGAAAAGCTACAGGGAGATATTTTACGGAGACCAAACGACCACAACACTTTAAAAAAAAACAAAAACGCAAAAACACTCACACTGAATTGAAGAGATAGGCTCGCCCTTGACTTCCTTGGAAAGACTGAAAGGCAAGCAAAAATAGGATAAAATGAAATAAAAAAGTTGATTAAACTCTGTGGGTAGTATAGAAAGGCAGTTTTCTTTAAAAAAAAAAAGGTATATTCCTTTAAGACAGTTTTTCTCAACTTGGGCAAGCTTGGAGGTTGTGTGGACTTCGACTCCCAGAATTCCCCATGCCGGTTAGGGAATTCGGGAGTTGAAGTCCACCTATCTTCAAGCTGCCAAGGTGTGAGAAAAACTGTGTTAAGAAATTGCTAGATGTTCTTTAGCAATTTCTGAATCCCCCCCCCCACTTTTCCATGCCTATGTGCTCTTATCATACCAATCTGCACGCTTCTCCTTAACTCAAAAAAAACGAAGAGAGATTTCTGTTTTGTTTTGTTTGTAAAAATGGCCCTGTGCCAAGAGATGTCAAAAGTTGATGGAACTGTATCTGACTTGAGCATTTATGGGGAAAAAAATAGACCAGTATGCAACAAAACACACAGTTATTTTAGCCTGCAGGCCCAGTGGGAAAATATGTCAGCTCAAGAGAAAAAAAAAAATCAAAAGCTGAGACAGACAAGCGAAGGGGAGAAAGAGATCTATAATACAGATTTTTTTTTAAAAGGGAAATTTATACTTAGCATTGCTCTATAAATAACACAGACAAAAAATTGGCATGTACAGGAGGTCCTCACCTTACAGCCATTTGTTTAGTGACAGTAACAATTTAACAAAGGCACTCAAAAAATCACTTATGACCATTTTTCACACAGCATCCCAGTGGTGAAATCCCAATTTTTTTTACTACTAGTTCTGTGGGTGTGGCTTGGTGGGCATGGCTTGGCTTGGTGGGCGTGGCTTGGTGGGTGTGGCAGGATACTGCAAAATCTCCATTCCCACCCCATTCAAGGAGAAGGATACTGCAAAATCCCCATTCCCTCCCCACTCCTGGGGCCATCCAGAGGTGGTATTTGCCAGTTCGCCAAACTATTCAAAATTTCTGCTACCGGTTCTCCGAACTGCTCAAAATTTCCGCTACCGGTTCTCCAGAACCTGTCAGAACCTGCTGGATTTCACCCCTGCAGCATCCCCATGGCCACACGACTGAAATCCAGGCGCTCGGCAAGCAACTCGTATTTATGACGGTTGCAGTGGTCCTCTTTTGCGAACCTCTGGCAAGCAAAGTCAACGGGGGGAAAGCCAGATTTGCTTACTGACGATGTTGTTAATTTAGGGATTCATTTAACAGCTGTGGCAAGAAAAGTCGTAAAATGGGGCAAAACTCACTTAACAACGGTCTTGCTCAGCAACGGACATTCTGGGCGGTTCGTAAGTCAAGGATCACGTCTGATAGCTTTCTTGTACGCCTCCCTGAGTCGCTTTTGGTATAAGATGGGCAGCTATATAAATTAAATAAATCAAGAGATATTTCCAAACTGGTAGTCCTTGACTTATGACCAGTCGCTTAGTGAATGTTCACGTTATGACGGACCCCCCAAAACAGTTCTTACGATGGGAGATTCAAACTTCTGATAGTATATTTTGGAACCATTTCACAACCAGTCCATATTTACAGATATTTGCAGTGTCCCTCAAACAAATGATTGTCATTTCTGATATTTTTGCTGGAAAACAATTTCTGCAATATCTTGCAAAAAAAAGCCCATTGTGGACAATGGATTCGCTGAACAAGTTTAATGTTCATTGACAACCGTGGATTCACTTAAGGACCGTGGCAAGAAAGCCACAAAATTGGATTGGTCATGTGATAATCTGAGAAATGACCAGCATGATTTACAACCGTAATTCTAGTTCAGTTACGGTCGTAAGATGAGGATTACCTATATATGGACCAATAACCTTAATTTACAAAACAATTTCATGCAACCTAATTCCAGGGTTCTATTTATACCCTATTGGTTGTAAAGAGAGCAAATTTTCTACAATTAATCTCATTCCAGTATCTGTCATGTCTCTTTAAATTTATCAGGTGCCAAATACAGTTGAGGTCCAGTCAGCCAATCAAGCATCACAGTTCTGGGCATGGCCCGCCTCCTCTACATGGTTCCACCTTCATTTAAAGGGAAACATTCTATTTATGTCCTGAGTTTTTAAACATCTGGAAAAATAAGCATTTGGTTTGCATTAAAGGGGCAGGCAGAACAAGCTCCATGACACATGAAAGGGCACATTTTCGTCATGGAGGAGTTTAAAATCAGCCGTTGATGGAAAATAAGAACATATTTGGTCAAAGAAATAAGAGAGAGCTCTTTGTTAAGTTTCCCACTGGAATTGCCAGATATTTCTTTTGCTGCTTGCTGGAAAGCAGCCATACCAAAATTAGGATTATTTTGTTCAGTGTCTAGACCAGAGTTTCTCAAACTTGGAACGTTAAGAGGGGTGGACTTCCACTCCCAGAATTCCCCAGACAGCATGCTTGAAGAGGGGTGGACTTCCACTCCCAGAATTCCCCAGCCGGCATGCTTTTAAGAGGGGTGGCTTCCACTCCCAGAATTCCCCAGCCTGCATGCTTTAAGAGGGGTGGACTTCCACTCCCAGAATTCCTCAGCCAGCCTGCTTTAAGAGGGGTGGACTTCCACTCCCAGAATTCCCCAGCCTGCATGCTTAAGAGGGGTGGACTCAAACTCCCAGAATTCCTCAGCCAGCCTGCTTTAAGAGGGGTGGACTTCCACTCCCAGAATTCCCAGCCAGCATGCTTTAAGAGGGGTGGGCTTCCACTCCCAGAATTCCTCAGCCAGCATGCTTTAAGAGGGGTGGACTTCCACTCCAGAATTCCCCAGCCAGCATGCTTTAAGAGGGGTGGACTTCCACTCCCAGAATTCCTCAGCTGCATGCTTTAAGAGGGTGGACCTTCCACTCCCAGAATTCCCCAGCCTGCATGCTTGAAGAGGGTTGGACTCAAACTCCCAGAATTCCCCAGCCAGCCTGCTTTAAGAGGGGTGGACTTCCACTCCCAGAATCCCCCAGCCAGCCTGCTTTAAGGGGGATGGACTTCCACTCCCAGAATTCCCCAGCCAGCATATTAAGAAAGTGAACTTCAACACCCAGAATTCCCTAGCCAGCCACGTAATTCGTACACCATTATTTATTTACTTGTATTTACAAGGCATATGTAGTGCTTTAATTGAAATATATGACCCTCGAAGATGTACAACAGTGTAAAGTCCCAGGATATATAAGTAACAAACCGCCAAATGAAGAGACAACAAAAACAGACGTGAACGGAGGAAGGCCCGTCTGCCCCACTTGTTTGGAATAAAAAAATTTTCACCATCTTGAGGACGGCACCTTCTGAGCTCCAGGGAAGACATTTGAAAGATGGAGGACCAGCAGGGAGAAGGACGGCTACCCCATCCCTATCCCATGATCCCTCAAGGAGGAGGGCTCATGAGGCGATCTTCTTGAGATGTTTGAAGACCTCGCAATGGGGTTGACTATGGCAAGGAAGAGTCTGATACGGTCTGTTGTTTCTCCTCATAAGGCTTTTACAAGTAGTGCAATGGCCGTAAGTGTGACGACTAGTCATCAGCTACTTTTTTCAGTGCCATTATAAGTCTGAACAGTCTCTAAATGAATGACTGGTTGTAACCGGAGGACTACCTGTGTATATGTATAGCATCATCTTCTTTTAATGACCTCATAATCCGTTGTGGGATGAAGTCTAGGCAACTGAATGGAGCGGAGTGTTTACTGGCCGGATGCCCTTCCTGTCTCCAGTGCTGAGTTTTGTTCAGCAGATATATTCTCATTGTGCCCAGAGAGAGAAATATCAGCCTCTACCTAGGATCGAACTCACAGCCTCCAGACCACCGCACCACTCACCTATACGTATATATATATATATATATATATATATATATATATATATATATGTGTGTGTGTGTGTGTGTGTGTGTGTGTGTGTGTGTGTGTGTGTGTGTGTGTTTGTGAAAATACAAAATATATATAATACAGTATATAGTCCCCGGCTTACAACCGTTCATACAGTAATTGCTCAAAGTTACAACGGTACTGAAAAGGAATTTATGCCGGTTTTTCACACTTAAGAACGGTTGCAGCATCCCGTCACGTGATCAAATTTCGGGTGTTTGACAACTGCCATGTATTTATGACGGCTGCAACATCCCAGGGTCATGTGATCCGCTTTTGCGACCTTCTGACAAACAAAGTCAATGGGGAAGCCAGATTCACTTAACAACCATTTGACTAACTTAACAACTGCAGTGAGTCACTTAACAACTGTGCAGTGGTGGGCTGCTGCCGGTTGTAACAACCAGTTCATACACACACACACACACATGGTCCTCAACTTACAACAGCTCATTTTGTGACCGTTCAAAGTTACAACAGCACTGAAAAGAGTGACTTATGACCATTTTTCACACTTTACGACGATTGCTGCATCCCCGTGATCACGTAAGCAAAATTCGGATGCTTGGCAACTGTTTCATATATATATATACACACACACACATATACATATACAAACATACGACGATTGCAGTATCCCGGGGGTCATGTGATCCCCTTTTGCGACCTTCTGACAAACAAAAGTCAACGGGGAAGCCAAGATTCACTTTACAACCGCGTGACTAACTTAACAACTGCAGTGATTCGCTTAACAACAGTGGCAAGAAAAGTCATCAAATGGGGCAGCACTCACTTAACAAATGTCTCACCGAGCAACATAAATTTTGGGGTCAATGATGGCCGCAACTCGAGGACTATCCGTGGCGTAGGGTTTCCTGCCTTGGCAGGAGGTTGGACTAGAAGACCTCCAAGGTCCCTTCCAACTCTGTTATTCTATTCTATTCTATTCTATTCTATTCTATTCTATTCTATTCTATCTATATTCTATTCTATTCTATTCTATTCTATTCCATTCCATTCCATTCCATTCCATTCCATTCCATTCCATTCCATATTTTCTATTCTATTCTATTCCATTTCTTATTGCTATTCTATTCTATTCTATTCTATTCTATTCTATTCTAT